CTCTTTCTCTCTCCTCTGCTCGCCCGAACGCAGCGCGGCAGCATGGGGAGATCCGGTGGGGACTGCGATGGGGGAAGAAAGGAGAAACCAGGGTTGTCGCACAGGGGGGAGTTGGGGATACGGGGAAGGTGTGGCTTTGTGCGTTTGGCGAACTAATTGCCTTCGCTGCTCGACGTTGGGCTCTTGCTCGGGAGAGCGATGCTGGAGAAGAAAAGGAACGGTTGTGCGTGTGCAGCTCATACAGTTTCGGGACTCCGCGAAGTGCGACAGGAAAATGGCTTCGTTTTGTGTTCGGAGGACAACAGTACAACCCGTGGTCCATGGTCCCTTCTGGCGTGAAAACCGTGAATGCGCTGACGCCCTCCGTATGATGGCGTTTAGGTTACACTCGAGCATGACTTAACTCTGCGACAAGACGTCAGCCTGATACTATCTAACGTTATCGCCAACTCTTGGGGAACGGCAGCGATGGCGTTGCGTTGTTTTCACGCCCTTGTGTAGAGTGTGCTTACGAATTACGTCCAGTTGTACGTCAATCGATACTGCGCCATCAACTCTCGCATTGTGGCCACCCTTGCTTGGCTTGAAATTCGCGTAGTTTTATTGTTTTTATTAAAATAAAGGCAGGTAACAACTTACGGTCGCGGAAGTTCGAAGTTATGGACGAACAGGTCGCGGGCAGATTATCCGGTCATCGGAGAGCACGCCGTGGTATTTCCATTTATTATTATGCGCCAGGTGTCGGGTTCGATGTCTGGTGGAAGGTTTAAAGACGACGGCATACTGCAATGCTCGTGTGTAAAATTTAAGTGTGTGTTTAAGTTTATGAGGTATACTTGAAAGAAACTTCAATGAGTTTATGGTGCGTCTGTTGTTGACCGGGTAATGCTTTCGTGACGTGATATTCATGTATTGACCAAACAATGCCTTCGCTTTATTTCACACAATGCGTTGCTGTTGATGCGCCCGTTATTTATATTTCTATCACGTATGCGGCCTTTTACGCTGATGAGCACAAGCGCCCCTGGAAGACAAAGCGGAAATATCACTTCCTGCATAGAGACAATCATGTGTCGAAAACTCGTACAGAGCCCTATAAGGGTTCGCGGAATCGACGTACTTGAGCCCCTCCAGCCAGTGGCCGCTCGCTATTATCTTTCAAGTTGGCGAGATTTGCGCCGAAAAGACCATATACGGCTTCGGAATTTCTACAGGCATAGCGATATAGGAGCCCCTCGTGGCAGGGGACCATTCACTTCCTCATAACACACGTGATACGGAAGAGCAAGGACGGTACGGAAACGATTCATCATCGAAAATGGACCCGCGGCCCAAATCGACATCTCCCGTGTTCCTCATTGCTCTCTTGCACGTTTTTTTTAAAACTGTGTTTCTCTTTTTGCGCTTCCTTGTCGACAGAACTTGGCATTTTCGTTTGCTTCGAGGACGAACCGTTGGTGCGGAGGCAGATATGGAGACATTTATCCTGGTTGGCCTTTACGTGGCCAAGGCGGTGTTCGTTCTTGTGTGACATTGTCCGAGTCTTCGGCTTGCAGAATGCTTTCGCTTGTCAACGGAGAGCTATAGTGCACACAGCAACAGTGGCAGCAATAATACTGTAGTTGCGGATTAGGAATGTGAATGTATTATTTTGTGTCAAGTTTTGCATTTTTATTGTTTGTGACAAGTTCACGATGCAAGCTATTAGGCAAGAGTAGAATAGGCGGAGTCACATCTAGGCACCAGCGCCTCCTGAAACGTTGTCTATTATAAAAAAAAAACAAATTACAGTGCTTACTGTTTTAATTCATTTCGAAGAGTGCTAATTAGGTGTCTCACCGGCGTTCACGGCAGTGCGTTTTCTTCCCTCCCCGCTCAGCCGACGTCATTAAGTCGTAATCATTTTCAAGTCGGGCACTCGGTTCTTTCATTTCGCTTGGAAGGGGGACCTGGCGCTTACGACATTGAACGACTGCCGTACAGACCTTTTGAGTAAGAGGCGATGAGTTGAGAGATAAAAAAAAAAGATAGGTGATAAGGCGTGTAGCACGTGTCTTTCTCTCTCCGTCCAAAAAGGTCGTTAGGTGCTGACTCCCAGGATAGGCCCTACTCCCGGCACTGCATCAAGTATTCATCGCGACCGGAGAGTAGAAGAGCTATTGTAAACATTTTGGTTTCGATGACGATGGTTTCCTTTTCGGGCAGAGGTGGGCGGTTTGAGACAATGTACAAACAAGATTGTAGGGTGGGATGAGGGAGAAAGAGTTACGGGGTGAAAAAGAAGAGGGAGAAGGGTTCGTTATAGGAATGAAAAGAGAGGACTCACAGCGAGTGTTTTGGGGGAGAGTTACGAACGCTCTACTAATGGTGGACGCACGAGCCGCCGCTCGTTCTACTGCATTAAAAAGGTATTGTGTGTAGACATGCACAGACACATACTGCCACCTACCTACTGTAATATACAGTAACACTCACTCGAAGTAATGGTAACTCGTTTTGCCTTTGAGGAAAGAAAAATTGCAAAAGGCAGACGTAAAAAGGAAGTCAGTAAACGATCTCCGCACTGTAACTGTCTAGCTCGAGCGGCTGACATGCACTGAACGGTGGCCATAGGTCGTCGAGGGAATCGTGGTGGATAAGAACCGGATGGAGGGGTGTCATTCACTCAAGCAGACAGATGGATGTAGTGGATATTTGGATATGTACAGACGGGTCCACTGGTAAAGAGCACACTAGTGTAGAGGTAATGTTGCGGATTTGACTATTCTACGAAAGCGTTGGGGATTAGAAACGACAGCTCCGAGTCGTTTTTACTGACCAGTGTCGTGCGCAAACGATCTTTTCCTCATCCAATTGTCTTCGTGGGGCCAGGAACGTTATAGTTGCTCACTTGACTGTTCCCTTTAACAATGTACTGCACTGTACATGAAATACGCAATGGTACACAGCTCGCTTGAACATCAAAATGGCTCAGTACAAACATTCAGGGTGCGCCTTCACAGTGATAGGAGATGCGCACACACGTGCCACTGTTCTTGAGGGCGTGGTGCCGACGTACTAAATTTCGCGCTGACACACAGACACGCTGGCGAACGCTTGCTCCTGTCGTGAAGAACCCCTCTTGCGCACGGCGTTCCGGTGCGGAGCGAAAATGCCGGGTCATTACGTCTTTTAGCGGGGAAGCCCTCTGCCGAGAGGTAACAGGAGGGTTTTGTCGCCGAAGAGTGGTGGGCGGCCGGAGGGGACGAAACGAGCATCTACGCCCGGCCAGGGAGAACGTCATCATCGTTAGTGTATAGGAGGACGCGCCACTCTGCGTCTTTGGACTGGGTAGAGGAGGGGAGGGAGTCGTACAAGTGGTAATGGCCGACCTGTGGATACTTGGGAAGGAAGAAAGGAAGGTTCTTCGCCGTGAAACTACCCGTAAGAAGCGTACACTTACGAAAGAGCTCCTCTGATGGCGCTAGGGCGTCAAAGACTGCGCTCGCTCACCTGCGCGTGTGTGTATTGGTATGAGGAGGCCTCGTTTTTCTCGCTATTCGACGCGGCGGCAGATATACAACATACAGGCCCGGTGGTTACGTGAGGTAGATGCCTAGTAACCAGGTGAGTGTGTGTACGTGGGCGGGGACTTGAGTGGGCAAGCAGTTTTGTTTTCTGAGAAGGAGGCGAGTTCCTGTGGGTCGGGTCGTGCGTGTACGCGGTGTCTGTTCCCGGTGGATCGTTTGCCGTTCGAACAACCCAGGGAGGTCGTGAGTAGGGGCTTCTGCGTTATCCACACAATCGTTTTGTCGGGTCGTCTTGTCGATCACAGAAGCAGGAAAGAAGTCAGTAGCCCATACGGTGCCGGAAAACTTGACGCGAGCGAAGCTTGCAATGGTGGGTGCTAATCTAGCGGGCAACTGGGTGCTAAACTAGCGTCCAGGCGGGCAAGTCTGGCAGGCAGGTCTGGCAGGTTTGGCTTCTTCGGCCAGCGAAGTACGTATCTTCTTTTTTTCTTTGTTCGTGAGACCATACTCTGCACCTCTGAGACCGCGCCTGTCCCTTCCTCCTCCGTCCTCGTGTTGTTGCGCTGTTTACAATATATATACTCTGCACCGATAAGTACCCGTGATGGCGTCTTCGATGTTCCGGCGGCCGAATGCTTGTTGTGTTAGGCGTGGCTCCCTTCTCTTTCTTTACCGATTGGTGCTTCATTACTTCACCACTGTGCACTGTACATTAGCGTCGTTATTTTTCGAGGTCACCGGAGCGTGGTTTGTTTCTCGGTATATTGTAGTGGGTGGCCTCATTCCTGGAGACTGGCTGGTAACTGTTCCTGGACTTAGTTCTATGTTTACTGCCGCAGTGGGTCACTGACATGATGAAGCAGATTGTAAGTTTTGTACTGGACCTCGCAAGAAGCGTTTAACGTTTTTGCGTCGCTGCCTCGTAGTAGTACGAAGCGAACTCGGAAGTAGTTTTTGGTAGTGGTAGTTTTTGGCATTTCGCTCGCACCAAACCCACGCCCACTGACCTCAGCCGTCAAGATAGCACGAGGGGTAATACCTGAAATCTTCGATTTTGTCGTGAACATTCGTTAAGTGAAGGGGTGTCACGTTAATGTGAACCTTTGCTGTTCTCTTCAGTCACTTTAAAGCTTGCTTGATGTGGAGAGACTGAGGTGTGTAACACCCCGGCTGTCGCATTGCTCTATACGTTCTACAGCACAAAAACGAAACAAAAATACGCTTTCAATAAAAGAGAATAAGTACAAACTTTGACATCAATCGAAATTTCTCAAGGATTCGACAGATTTGCATACTTTATAGGCCATGTAACAACGCAAACAAATGGATGTGGGAAAGACACCGCACACGCAAGTGCGGTAGTGTATCTTCCGTGGTAGTTTCTGCCGTTTCGTTTTTCATTTAAATACGATTGAACTCGCTCTGAAAGAAGTATTTTTGCAGTCCTCTTACATTGTTTTGTGTTTTTCCTTCTCTTTTGCCTCTTTGCAGGTTCATTAACGCGAGGCGAAGAATCGTGCAACCAATGATCGATCAATCTAATCGAGCTGGTGAGTATGCTGCTCCATGTCTACTCATCTGCGTCACACACACCCTCGATTCTCTAAATTACTTACTCCTTGATGATTTCGCTGCACAGTAAATAACAGTGTTTCGGTTTGAATTATATTCTCACTTGTTTTTAAATCTGTACAGCAAGCAGCAGCAGCCGTCACTAAACGTGTGCTTCACTTTTTGTGAAGGCTGTTGCACTGACTAGGGAACTCTTTTAGGAGAAACGTTGCGAGGAAATCGACACTTGAGCTAGTTTATTGAGATGCATGGTGCAGCTGTTGTTTAAGTGCACGAAGAAGGACTGGGAAAGAAGAAAGTGCAGGCGCTTACTCGTAACCGAAAGATTTATATAAAAGGATAGGATATACATGGAAAGGAAAGAATATGTGAAAAGGCAAACTGCTTTTCATGTATAGCAACACCGAAGGTGTTGCAACATTAAGTTTGATTTACTAAATAGTATTTTCGGATAGTCTTTTTGCTTTTGTTAACTGACCGTTCTCGTGTTGCCATGGTTTTCATTTTGCCTTAACACACATGAGTTCATCTTCATTCGGTGCATTTATATTCTTTCCTTTTCAACAAATCTTTCAGTTTCGAGTATATAGGTGCTTTCCCCGAGCTTCTTTGCAATCTTCTCCCGTGCTCCTTTGCAAAAACGTTGCAAGGCATAGCAGGGAAAAGTTTTGCTATTTTGTCGAAATTGGGTCGCTATCGAGAAAAAAATTGGATCGGCTTCGGTCGCTCCTTTGGTTTATGCTGTTGTCTTTACGTTCGATTTCATTCATATCCCAAGGAAAGCGAAAGAAAGAAAGACAGCACAATGGATCATAGTGGCACAGACGAGAAGTCGCGGCGAGTGTCACGTGTTGTGCATATATACGTAGAAAAGTGGCTGCACGGGAATATTACAGCCTGCAATAGTTGGGAACAGTGTTGGCTTTTATTATTCTTTCTCTTGTTTTTGTAATGTTGCTGTGTCAATAGCGAGTGGATTTCTTCTCACGCTCTTAAATGTGACCCTTAGGTATTTTTCCCTCTTTGCAAAACTTCAATAGGCCTCCCGCGTTCCCATTGAACAAACAGTATAGTGATAGAAAAAAAATGAAAATAAACAATGTTCAAGGTCAGTGCTTTACAACGCTCTTGCCTGCTCACTCGTCAAAAAAAGAAAAAGAAAAAACGCTTCTAAGTTTCTCATGAATAGGAGCAGCGAATGTACTGTTTATCTATCTGATTCTATTGTAATAGTGGCGGCTGAAAAAAAATTAACATTGGCCAAACGGGCACAGGAGTATACTGTTTACGTGATCACCACTCCTCTATAAATGTGTCCGCGCCCAGCCCTGCATTTGTTGCTGTTGTTGTTGAATGAGACTCAGTACAAAGAAGTTAATGACTTCATTTCATGTGTCCGTATATTTTGAGGCTGTCGCTGTCAGGCGAGTTTGATTGATCTGCGTCTCCCGGACACAACTTCCGTGCGCTGCGGAAATGAGTTTAGCCATTAACGTATCTTTTTTTTTACTTCCGGAAGAAACGTTCGTTGGTTCCGGGGAGGCAACAATAAAGTCGTGAGTTTCCGCGCGCTTGAGCGCAATGCTGATGAGGATATGTAGGACGAGCTAGCGTTCATTGTGCGCAGCGACGCGAAATGGCGTTGTAACAATAATACAAATAAAGCTAAGTATCGTGCGAACGTGTTATTGTGTCTGTGTAACTGAAATCGAAAGTTAGCTTTTCACATGCGTATATTGCGTTTAGCCGAGCCAAGTTTCTCTACATACGACAACGGTGTAGCCCGCGGTTGTCGTTTGTTAGAAGCTTGTACAATGAATAGCAAGAGTTTTGCGGAACGCTAAATGTTTGAAAAGCCTGCATTACCCGCATTCTTTTGGAACGTAACATGCTAGTGAATGTCCCTGTCTGTAGTTGACATGTCGACCGATACAGTCATCAGCTATATTATACGCATTACGAACGTCTATTAAAAGCATTGCTGTTCGGTGTACATGCATGTGGTATTCACGTACGGGTTCAATGCTCAGGCTTATAGCGATGGCATTCCCGCTGCGCGAATATGAGAGAAGTTCTCTTAGCCACCTTAACCTCTCGAAAGTCTGTTGTACTTTTGTGTGCCTACACTTTTGGTTCACTCGTGTTTACGTGCTAATCGGTGACCTCTAACCACCGAATCGACAACCTTATGATGCTGATTTACTAATTTACTTTGCTTCTTTGGTATTTTCTTTTGTAGACAAGACAAATGCAAACCAGCATCTTGTTGGTGACTATTCGACTGGAGACGGTTTCACGGAAATTACTAGTCATTCTCGTGTATGGAAAGACGTAAGCTAAATAAAACGAAATAAGGGGGGATTCCTAAAAAAAAAAATTCTTCGAAGCTGGTGGCTTCGGATTTCATTGACCGAAAATGTGCTTTTTTGTCTAATTTGACTAGGTTAAATTGGTATGACGTCATTAGGTTTACGCTGCACAGGAAACTTCCACACAAGCAACGTAATATGCGAGGTGCACTGGCGGACGTATATTTCATGCGAAGCAACCCGAGATCACGTGATTACGGGTCTGGATGCCGCAGCTACTACAATTTCTTTGTTACGTTTTCTTCACACTAATTTGAATCAACCACTTTCGTTATACGCTCACCGTACGCTTCCGCATACGCTCACTTGCGTTCAGCACTTAGTTTAATTCATTTCTGCCCGAACATTTTTTTGTTTTCGTTTTGTCTCACTGACATTTTCTTTGGTTTCGAAATCGGCGCAGGTGGGACGATAGGAGGCGCAAGTGCGGCGTATGGACCTGACGGTGGAATGGGATACATGATGGACGGCAGTCCACAAATGCACATTAGGCCACCAGGTCAGTTTATACGGCTTGACGTTTGCTTGCTTTGGTTGCGCATAGTTCGTTTTGGTTTATTTTACGTTTGATGCTTTTTCTTGTGTTTGTTGAGTTGTTTGTATTTTGTTTTATGCGCGACAGGCAGCGCTTTGAAGGTCTGAGTGTCTTTTTTGGACTATCCGCCTCCGCAACTCAAAAGTAGTGCTTGCCATACGAGTGCACTGATAGACACCTTACGCTATTCGACTGCAAACATATTCATAGCGTAATGAACGTAATTGACGTGATGTAAGAGGAATCAAGTGAAAGATATTATTGGCCGACGTCTTTGTCCTGGATAGAACGGGTCTGTTCACATCTGAGGCAAACACCTCAGTAGTTTTAACCAGGTAAAACTGAAACATTTATATTGCTTTACGGCGGAAACGTTTATTGTATGACGGGTACTCATGGAGTTGACAAAGACAATACTAATTTTCCATTTATGTATTAAACATCAACCAGGCTGATCTCGTGAGTGGGCGTGTGGTGTATCGCTCGATTTTATTGCCTCGATTGCTTGCTTCAACATTTATCTTTGCAACACGAAAACCGAGTAAGAACTGCTCACGTTTACCGTTCTTGTAAATTTCGATGATCGGGTTGACGTCCATGAGAGGGAAACGCCCAGCGGGATCAGGTGAGCTCGCTGGGCTGAGATGCGCTAACCTTCATCTGTTCAGAGCTAAGCCCCGTCATATGACTGCTGATAAAGGGGTGCAGGTCGTGCGCTTTTCTAAAAATAACTAGAGGGTACTCCGGCGCTGCGCACGTTCGACCGCCATGAAAAGGGGGGGGGGGAGGTAATATTCTTATTTGCTTAATACTTGTGCTTGACTTCAAACGCCCTTCTGGCCTCGTTCATTATGTTTTGGTGTTTCTTCTATTTCTATTTGGATAATAGAATGAATCATTGTCAACTTCGTGAGCTGATTTGAACAGGTTAGCCTCGAAGGTTAACTTGGTGGAGTGGAACTGCTGAACTTTTGATGAACTTTGTCTTTGCGACAAAGCGGATGCAGGCCATACGGAGCCAAAACGGAGTCAAAGAAATTAAGTTTAGACAAATCCGAGCACTACCCGTCGTTCCCATGCTCGCTGAGGCGCCATGCGTCGCAGCTCCCGTAGACACTAGCGCCGGAGTTCCCCCTAGTGTACTTGTACGCAACTTCAACGTTGCGGGCCACGCGCTATAACTGCTCGCTCTTTTCTCTCTGTCTCGCAGGCATGCAGAACTTGTCCTGCGGCGATGCGTCGATGGGGATGGGTCACATGGGCGCCATGGGCAGCTACCCGCAAATGCCCCAGTTGCGGTCGCCGACGCAGGCCATGCTCCTGCCTGGCCACCCGCACGCAGCCGCCATGATGATGGCGCCCATGGGTCACCCCGGGCTACCCCCGCAGGGGTCACCTTACGACGGCCAGCACATCATGGACATTCACGCCAGCTAAAGAAGAAAAAAACACACAAGCAAGCCGCGCCGCCTCGTGGCCCTTCCTCCGTGGCTGCCCTCGTCACCGATTGTCCTCTTGCTCCAAGCTGCGCTGCCTCCGTTCGCCACCGCAAGGTGGCAGCACTCGACGGACCGCTTTGTTTCTTTAGTCCTCCTGCTTTCACGGTTCTATCTTGGTCTGTTTCCTCGTGGCATACGCACGAACCTTGCAATACTGCGACTTCCCGCGGCAGGGTAGTAGTGTGGCGCCCTCTGGCCTATCTTGTACTTCTTATTCTTACGCAACTTTTCGCGAAAACCGCGTTATTTTTGTTTGTTTTTCTTGGCGAGCGCGTGAGAGATCGTGAGCGACAATTTTTTTTTCAACTTTTTTTTGGTATCTTCCTCTGAGATCGATCATTACCTGTACTTGTTTTTGGCACGTACTTTCAAACTCCTACGTTGTCGATCGTCTTGCAAAATGCATCTGTCTCTGTCGTCTGCGACGGGGAACAGAAGTCTAAAAAATTCGATCGATCGTCTTCTATTTAGCGAGGCGATTCGTTTTCAGAGATGCTGAGAAAAAGCATTACGAAAAAAAAAAGCAAGCTCATGGCGTTTTTTAACTACTACAAATAAAATCTGCGAAGTCAATCCTTGAGTAAGCTTAGCTATCTGAACGATCATGTCTGCTCAAGGTTTTAAACGAATATACGAAGAAAAAAAAAGAAAATCGAAAAGCCGATGCGCAAGACTCTTTCCCCATCGCCGATGGCTCAGCCGGGCGCCCCCAGGGCGACCATGCATCTTCTGTTTCTTGTCATACGACTTACGCAAGAAGGAAATTATTACGGCGAAAGGTCGAAAAGGCTTTGCCTTTTTGGATCACGTGAACCATCTCCCATAGTCTTTATATGGATATCTTTAAGTATTGTGTTTTGTTTTAGTCGTGGCTTTTCTTCATCTTGGGTCCCCCTTGACCTTCGATCCAACGCGACAAAACTTTTTTTTTTTTTCATATATACATACACCCGCCCAGAAGCCGCCGTGACTGAGGCTAATGAACCAGTCGACATTTTGCAATCATAACGACATTCATGAAAAATAACTGTCATTAAAAACAAGCGTTGAGAAAGAACTAGAAAGCATAAAGGTCGTTCCGTGATCTGCCGCACACGTGTAAGGGTTAGAAATCGGTTTTTCTTTCTTTTTTTTTTTTACGGACGCCATATCTTCGCTTCGCACGATCAACTTTTACATTAGGGTTGTCTTAGGTGTTTTTCGTGCTCATTGCTCATCGCAGCTGCTCACAGCCAATGACGTTGTTATGCGAAGGTGTTCGGCCAACGGAAAATCTATTATGAGCACCGACGCTTTTTAAGTACGGCGCTTGGCGTGATTTCCTGTTCTGTGGTGATGGCTGGCAAGGCCCGTCAGCAGCCGCTTTCCAATGGCCTGCATCAAGGCCTAATAAGGTTCGCCGCGGTTCGCGCCTAGCTACTGTGATAGCTAATGCACGGAGTCGTAGTTATCGGGCTATCATTGCTCAACTACAACGTTCACGTGGTTGTTTTGCAGCTGACAAAATAAAAGAAATTTCGCCAGCGACTTCGTGCTTCTCGAGGCAAAAGTATTGAGGCTAACAAAGGCCATAGTTAAAGTTCTGAAGCTCAGTAAGCCTTTATGAGAAAAACAAAGGGTAAAATGTCCAGCTAAATAAAATTTTTCCGTGTGATTGGCCATATATTAATTCTTTTGCAGAATGCAGTGCTCTGGAAGCTTAGGAAGCCTTCATAAGGCTCGTGGACCAGCTAATTAAGCATAGTTCATGTCAATGTCAAGCTATTCATTTATATTTAGTCGTGAGAAACTCAAGTTCGGCACAGGTGTGGGCTAATCTGGAGATGACATAAGCTTTCAGGCTCGTCTTCTGTCTAATTAGGACTAGTTACATTCCTCATTGCTTCTTTTTGCAGTACAATGCCGAGTCATTAGTGGTGTGCTGGCTTGACCATAGATAGGTTCTAGCATGCTCCTCACAACGGCCCCTGTCGAGTGGTAGTCTGTCATTCGCGTCTACGGATCTCGAAGGTCTTTATATAGAGTAACGCACACGCGATGCCGGCTCGATGTGTACAAACTCCGGAGCAAGGTTCACGCGCGGAATGAGAAGAGTGTGACGAAGACGTGGTCCGAGATCGGTGTTCTGAGCTGCGCGTTTGAGGTCTGAAAATTTTTGAGGGTGCAGGATGCAGTGTATACACAGGTTTAGGCTTAACTGTCGCCAGCCGGAAGTGACGTGGTGGAGAAACTACAAAAGAAGCCTCCAGGTGGCTTTTCGTCTTCGACGTATCGTAGCGATAAAAAGAAAAGCACCTATACGGGCGTCGCGTAACGTCGTTTGGGTATACTTTTCTCCCACGTGTGGCGTATCAACGCCCAGTCGGTGTTTTTTTCCCCGTCGACCATTGCGCGACATCCACCTTCTAACCCAGCCCCCATCAACCCGCAGTCAAGACAAGTTCGCTGCCGAATGCTTGTGGGCTTAAATGTGTTTGTGAGCTTGTTCGTCTGGCTCTTGACGGTTTCGTTGAGATTCCGCTCAAGAATTGAAGGAACGGCCGCTTTTTGCTCTCTTCCACGCGGGAGGGCGCTGCTGCCGTCAGCGACGATGTCCGCTGACCTTCCTACTTTTCCCTAGTGAAGGGAACATACCACCGACGCATGGTAAAAACGATACGACGACACCAATTTCTTGAATCGTAACGATGAGCGTGTCGGTTCCGACGTGTCTGTGTTGAGGAAAGACTCCATTCGACCCGCTCTATTTGTTGTGTGTCACGTATCGACGAACATTTTTACGTAACATTTGTTATTCTCGTTCATCCTATGAAAAAGTCAGTTGCCCCCTTCTTTATATACAAGGCTTCACCGGTGAACTCGAATCGAGGGGGGCTATACTGATGAATACGTAATCATCGTTTGCTTAGCTCACCCATTTGTGGAGAAAGTATTTCGGTCTTAACATAATAGTCCTGCTCTTTTCCGCGCCCTTCAAACATTATAAGTTGTAGTTTTCTCCCTTCTTTTTAGGGCATTCTGTGTCCAGTGAGGTGAAGGAACACATCTACATGGCGGCAAGCTGTGCGGGGTGGTTGATCGCGTCAATATTTTCTATCGAGCAAAGGGGTGTGTGTGGTTGTCTCAGCGTGCGTCGCCACAACTCAAAACCGAATTGCTCTTTGGTTCCTATCGCATTTTTCAGTCGCCTAGCTGATTCGCAGAGTTTACCACACCTTCCGCATCCCGCAAAAATAGAGACCATTCTCTCACGTGGTTTCGTATTCCTCGTGTTTGATTGGTTAAACAACTTGCTTGTTATGAACATTATTTATCTTGCGTACGCCATTTTTTATCGGTCCAACTAGCAATACCATTACGAGAAAGTGGTGTTACGTTCTCACTGAAGAAAGAACTCTTTCATTGACACTGTCTTAGGCAAATACCCGCCCTCATGATCGCACTTCATCTGTAATGATAAGATACGTGGTTTCTGTAGGTGTTCCGACCCGACTGTTAGGTCATTCGATCTCTCTTTCAGAACAAGTCCGAGCTCCCCTTCAATGGAGGGTTGATCCACAAATCACTTAACACTGCAATGAATAACCTTGTTACCATGGTTACCTTAAGCTTTTTAATTTGGTCAGGTGGCGTGGAGTTGCGCCGGCGTTCAAATATCAGCCAATCGCGCACGAGTTCAGTTCGTGACGTGGTGGCTTTGTGTGCAATTTCGAGTGTTTCCGGGATACGCGAGTTACTTTAGGTCTCCTTTCTTCTTGCTGTTTGCATATCTCAGTCGGACTGTTGGCGTCTCGAGCCCATCCTCGCATCGATCGTTGTCATCTGATCTTGAGATCTTGGCCTCAACCTCAGCAAGTCTCCGAATCGAAGGAGAGTGCAGTTTTACTTTCGTTCTTTCTTAAAGACAGACAACAATCCGTGCTCTGTCTAATTCAGGTGGTGCTTGTCGTTTCCGAGTAGCGTATACCGGACGCAGGTACTTTATTCAGGGCAACGTGATTTGCTAATGTTTTTCCCGTATTTTTAAAGGGCCTCTAAACCACTCCAAGTTTAAAGAAAAGAGAGCAGTTTTATATTCTCGCCTTCACTACCTTTCCTACAGGCAATATATCCTCCTCACCGTTTATTGCTTCAGAAAGCATTGATTGATATGTGGGGTTTAACGTCCCAAAACCACCATATGATTATGAGAGACGCCGTAGTGGAGGGCTCCGCAAATTTCGACCACCTGGGGTTCTTTAATGGGCACCCAAATCTGAGAACATGGGCCTACAACATCTTCAGAAAGCGTGCGCACAATGTTACCACTAAGCGTCAGGCCTATCATGATTTTGTGATTTTCGGCTGCACGCCATTACATCCGCTTGCATAGTAGAAAACGCATTAAGCAACGTGAAATCGGACGGTAGTTCACTGGAGTCAATCGAGAGAAAGCAGACTGCAAGTGAAAAATGCGGTTAGGAAGCAATTCAGCACGAAATCTCCCTCACGTATGGACCAATCGAGAGCCTGAAGTCTAATGACGTCATGTTAGTCATCACGCTGGCGTCGCGAATTGCGCCGAAAAAAAAAAAAGACATGCCAGGGAAGATTAACATGGTCGTTCCTTGTCGTTGCGAGGTTGTTTAGGGGCCCTTTAATACTTCGGTCGCATATATCTTTACATCGCCAACTGTCGCTCGAATTATCAACTTTTATTCAGGCTCTCCTTCCTCCTGCCCCCCTTTTTTTAATTTACAGGTGGTGAATGGGTTTTATCACGACGGAATGCTTGCACGGATTGCACAGATCTTATCGCCGTTCTAGTTCACTGCGCATGTTCTGACATCAGGAAGGTCTTGCCTGCGTTTTGAGTCCTCGAGGTGCTGGAAATCTTCAGAAGGCTTTTGTTAGTATTTGCGCCAGCGGGCAAAATTTATGCGATGCATCGTGAACTCACTGATTCATTTTTTTATGTATCGTCACACACACACTGCTCGACTAGGAACCATCATTGATGTCCTTCTCCTCACCACACGTCGCACTTCATTCGAGCAAGAAACAATTTTCTTGTTTGTTCTTATTTTTTTATTGTCGGGGGTATCGGACTGATCACGATGCAACTGACAGAAAAAAACTGAAGATACGTATGTAAAAAGACAAAGCGCATTATCTTCGCTGAAAGATAACGAGAAGAAGTGAAACAAACTAGACGGGGAGAAATCTCCAGTTATATATATAAATATTATAAATATAAATAATGATAGTTTATGATATTATCCATCGTGGTTGTTGTTTATCCCTCAATGTCATATTCGCCGAGTTATGCTAGTTTGTTCGTGTGTTTCTGCGGTTGCCTTCGCCCTTTCATTTTCCCCCTCTCTCTCTTTAAATCATCGAAGCACGCACTGCACACTTGTTTGCGAGCATTAACTGCATCTGTAGTTGCAACACTTAGAGTGATTTTTTTTGCTGCTCCTTTTCCCATCTACGACTTCTACACGTGTTCTTTCTTTTAGATTGCGCTTTCTGACGTCATCCCATGTCCTTCCTTGGTACTTGCGAACACCAACAGATGGCTCTTGATTCTCCCACTTTCAGTTTTGTATGCATGCTACTTTTTATCTCCTTTTTTTTGTACTTTTGTCGAATATGCGAGTGTGTCCATTTGTGGGATATAATATACGTATCTGTATAAAAAAACGTACAGCCATCTAAAGACTATATGTGTAGTAGCAGTAATGTCTTCAACTTCTGTTCTTTTCGGTATATATAAATACGAATGTATATTGTTTGTCCCCCCCCCCCCCCCACGAGGCTTAGTAACGTCTTATGGGCCAACTGTTATCATGTACTGCCATTCCTCACGTCTCCTTGGGCCTATAGAGTTCAGTTTTTTAAGTCGTGTATGTGAGTGCTGTACCTGTTCTTTTTTTTTTTTTGCGAACTGTAGTGTCTTTCCGCCTCTTGTTTAATTAATGTTTTGAGCTTGACAGTTTTTTTTTTCCTCGTCGCTAGCAGTGTTCCTATCTCACTGTA